AATTGGGTGAATACATCTCATATTACTGATTTACTGGTAGTCACGAAAACAATACTTAATTCGAAAAATGCTGCCAGTCATTCGCAAATTGCGTTCGCTCTGTGGATTATATAAAATATAACGATGGAGTAGGTTTTTTGAACTACCAGTAGATCTTGTCACAGCTCTACCATTATAAGTAGTTAATTGCTTTATTACATCCATTTTACCAACTTGTGTTAAATCCAGCTTTTCTGTTTAGTCACTACTCTAAATTTATATGTTCTGGTTAAAAATTAATTAGTTTGAATATTATATTTTAACACATAAAATTTGCCTTTTATCTTAGTAATAATCCAGAAGTTGTCGTCATCAAATTAAAAAATTTATCGTACCAATTGCTAATTATCTTCTAAAACTGAGCTTGAGCTTAGTTCAAATTACCCAAAATTACCAAAAAAATTCTCAGCATCATTGATTAGAATAAAACTCTGACACGATTAATTCCAGCTAGACTGATTGGAAAATTCGATTTTAATGCGAATTTAAATCTATATTTTGGACGGACCTTCACTCCGAATCTATAGGTACTACAGAATCCAATACGTTTTTATTCAATCAGAGTGATCTCTTCCCTGGTTATTGGCTAAAATGATGAAATAAGTAAAATCATAACAGATATTTGGTTGTTAAGTGCAGACCACGAATATGGCCTAGGCAGTGAGTAGAAGCAAAGAGATGGGGGTGGCATGATATAATCCTAACAAAACTGTCTGAGCAGAGTTTTATCATAAACTGGATAAGGTAAATGGTCAAAAGCACTTCCCTAACCTTTTTTCATGCTGTCTTCTGAATCAGGAATAGTCTTCTGATTGGCTGGGGAATCTTTTGGATCGAATAGTTCAACTAACCCTCAAGATAATATGGACTAGACAGAGGGGGATAAAGACTAAGCTCAAATTGACTATATTTCTTTACAGAGTCTAGGTAGCTGAGACTTTCTCGACAGTATTTATGTTGTATGACTCGGTCCTAGTAGAGAGGCAGTTTCAGCTATACCTGTGGAAAAAAATAGTACTTCTGTTCACCTCAAAATTGAGCATAACAATCATTTTCGGATAAGTCTAACAGTTTATAATATGAACTGCGATTATATTTGAAACTAGCTATCCAGAGCTCAGATAGTACTTGTACAGGAAAGATCTTGATGGACTCAGTTAAAAGTGAAGGCAGAAAACAGGACGTTCTTGACATGATTGAAGTAGCAGTAATATACCAATTGATCATGTAGAATTTTACCAATAGTTATTACTTTTATACTAAGGTTCCCATCAACACTGCTGCACTGAGAGCTAAGAAAGCTAATTAATCCATACTTTTGAAGACTTTCATTTCGTATGAAAGTGTAGCATGTAGTGATTCTTGGTTGATCTCACCAGAATACGATGGCTGATTTTCTTTGCTCTTCTGCCTTCTGACTTTAGTACGGGGCTCAGGTTGACACAGTCCGCAGGACATCCTCCCTCGTTTTGTGTTGAACGGGGCTAGTCTTTCGTTGGTCATATGGTAAACACCATCAGAGCGGAGACTCATTCTTGCAAAAGTCTCACGTCAATAAGACTATCTATGCTATATATACACTCACAACTAAAAATAAAAATATTTGAATATAGTTAGAATGATTTGGCTAGTTCTCTTTTATATCAGTAAAGGCGTAAGTTAACATATGTGCGTAATATCGGTCATAAATTAAAGTAATTACGAAAGAGCTTAATGTCATATGATGGACTAAGGCAAAGTCTTGTTTCGCCCGAAATAAGGGAAGATGTTTCGAGGATTGTGTTAACCTGAACGTTGTGTTAATGCCAAAAGGCCCCAGAATAACTAGAATCAGCCGTCGCCTTCTGGTGAGTCCAACCAACGAACATCTTTCTCATTCACTTTCCTACGAAATGAAGTTTTCCACAACAATGCTATATCAATAGATTTATAACTCCAGCTGCCCTTCGTTTGCAAGAAATAGGTAAGATTGCAGTTAGCCACCCTGCTTGACTTCGTGTTTGGTAAATTTTCGTAATGCATGATTTTCTGCTCTTACGATGTCCGTCACATAACGGACGAAGGTTCAGCACAGATTTATCTGAATTGCGGAACGATGCGCTGAGGACTTATCCACATAAATCTACAGTCACAACTCCGAAACACTACTCCTTCGGTATCCGATAAAGTCAATTTACGAATCCATTCCGCTCTCCTCTTTAAACGGAATGTAAGCTACGACACCACCACCAACATCCTACTTCGCTTTGCGATGGGGCTAATTAAGAATCTTTTCAGCCAACTTCTCTATCTACATAGAAAGTCGAGTCGTTAGAATTCGAAACTTTCAGGATATTACGAACTATCCGAAGATTCCGCAAGCTACGGAGTTAAGCCGGCTTGGAAGGCATACCGAGGTGAATCTGGCTAGGCCTATTAGGCCTTAAGATATGGATATAAATCTGACGACGAAGACAGATCCCGGAGCTAAGATTAATCTAATCTAATTGACTAGCTTTTCCATGGACGTGCTTATCATTTGGAAAGTTGTTGGTAGCATAATTTTAGACTTCAAATCTAGGAAAGTGAGATAAGTAGCACTTATTAAGCATGCTTTTTGGTTGAAGAGTAACTAGAAGGTAGAGAGACAATGCTCAAGTCCGTTTTATTTTAATTTGTCCTGCTTCTCTTCATTGACATAATCAAGGTCGAAGATCATGCTCAGCGTCTCATAGTCTCGTTATACTTTTATGATATTGAAATCTGCTTTAATGGGGATTCGATTGCGAACTAGACTGGCTGATATTAAAATATAAATGTCCACTTCAGTTCAACGAATACAATTTTTGGTCAATAACTTTTAGTATCAATCAAGTTTCTACCTTCTAGATTATTTTATCTTTCAGGCCTACATAGAATTTATTCGTGAACTGAACTCCGACTGGTTAGAGGCTAATATGAATCGGGTGCTGGCCCACTGTCTCGGTCTGTTGCTTAGTCCTCGTGCCACGAATTCACACGCCGAGGCCGTATTTTCTCGTCATTGCGTCCGTCATATCCTCTCCAGTCTTCTACGAAGTCGGCTTTCTGAGATGGCCCAATTGACGGCTTGCTGCCACTTGATCGGCTTACTGCGGGCTTGGCTATTTCAGGCTGCAGCAGCTGCCATGTCACCCACCGTCTCTTTGGGACAGTCGACCGTCTCGAGTACTCCAGCACTGCTGTGCATGCTAACAAGTGGTGTGATGATCAACTCAATGGCGCCTGGACTCGTCATGTCGACTTCTGGCTCGGGCTCCGGTAGCAATGGAGCTGCGCCTCCAGCCATGGAGTTGCCCGGCTCAACTGCTGCCGCGGCCTCGCGTGGTATGTCCGATTCTACTGACTCCAATTCCATGGAGGTTGCAGGCCTGGGCAATTCAGCTCTACTAGCTAGCACCAGCAGTAGTGGCAGCAATGGGGGTGCAAGTGGTGGCGCCGGCGGCAGCACTGCTGATGACCAGCATTTGCTGATCTGTGCTCTCGATCAGTTGACTGAGCTTATTCGCTGGCTCGAGTCCTCTGCAGGTCAGAACTGTGAATGCTTGCAAAGTCGGGCAGCTAATTGT